AGTCTGTGATTTGTTAAAGGCTGTAGAGTGAGTCAGTATCAAAGACGGTGTTTCTTTTTATAAAAGTCATGTATTGTTTAATAAATAGCAGTAGTTCATCTCAAAGCTGTCTTTGTTATGTGCCTTTCTGATCTCCAACATGTTTCTTCAAAGGAAGGCTTTGCCCCATCGAGCCTTTGCCAATGTCAATAGCAGCTGAATCCCAAGCTCACTGCATTTCTTAGCAAATGTTCACTCAAGCCTATCCCTCCTTTCCAATAGGTGTGTCAAAAAACTCTTGAAATAATGCTTCTCACATGCAGCACTTAAAAAATTGGTAAATGAGTTGTTAATATTTATTGTAATTTTCACTTAACTAAGATGGAAATAACAAGAAATAAGATATTCTCTGGTCTTTTTCCATCTCTGAGTGTTCCTTTTTGTGTGTGATGGATATTTATTATGAGCTTATTTTCATGGACCTCTTGGCACAGGGAGTCAAGGTGGGAGAGATGATTCTGAACACATGAAGGTGTAACTTTACTTACTTACATAATTAATTTCTTTAATCTGTTATGAATTAGAAGATCAGTTTACAGGTAATGATTCTAATCACCTTTCTGGTCTATCTCGTTTTTATTTTCTTTATCTGAAGCTCGCTTTTATCCTCATCACTGAAGATAATAACCTTTTTTTACAACACTGCAAAGATGTTAAAAGCTGGTAACAGCAGTCTCAGAACACATGGAGCAGTGCTGTTTCAAAATTATTAAGAAAAAAAGAGGGGGCAGGGAGACCCTGTCCCTCCAACTTCAAACCTAAATTAAACCTTTCTAAACTTATAATGTAAAATTTAGATAGATCTTTCTTCCTTAAACAGAATTCTTTTAACTAGTGTTTTATAAGTCTAAAACAGGTGCAATGTGTTACACAATTTATGGCTCCCAGTACCTGCCACAAAGTATTTTATGATGGCTGCTTTCTGTGTTATTAGTAGCTGTCTTTTTCTGCAGCCTTCGGTGTTTGATAATAGTCTTAAAACACCCAAAATTACTTACCTGCAAGCAACATTCCATAGTCCCTGTTGACAGTTTGAATAAGTTTAGTGCCCTTTTGTTGTACTTTACCTTCAAAACAAACTGATTGAACCATCAATAGCTCCTGAAAGCTGACAGAGGCATGTCATCTGGTCTAACCCTCTGATAGTAGGTTATCTGTGGGAGTTAACCTCCCTGCATTGTTAACTGAAATGTTTTATGTACTATGCAACTTTAGGATACTACTGTGATAACCTTAGTAACTAAGTCATACATCACAGTAAAGAGATTTTAGGCAACAAATAACCCTGGATTAAATTTACAAGGGTTGAATTGATATTGTAGAGTGTTCATTCCCAAGCTTTGGTAACCCTTTCCTGCATTTTTTTATGGCAAACTTATGTTATGTTTAGATTAAAGCTGCATCTTCATATTTATAGCTAAAGTGTATCACAGTTTTTCTTCAGTCTTTTAATAAAAGAGTATCACATTATTTTCAAATCACATAGAAACTTTTTATCCCATATTTAGTAAAAGGAATATGAATAAATGGGATTGTATTTTTAATTACGTTTAAAAATAATTAATTACTAATATACCTTCCTTCTACTGGTGAGGTAACCTTTCCTTTCCTTAAGAAGTGCAAGTTTTAAAAAAAATCAACCAACACCAAACCTGTGACTTGTGTAGTTTACTGTTTAGTTTGTGTGGGTAGGGTTTTTTGGTTTTGTTTCTGGAATTGACAAGTACTAGTGCTAATTCTGTTTTTTGAAATGCAATCAGCATGGCTTTAAAATACAAAAATACATTTGTATCAAGGAATGCTATTATAATTTTAAGCTCTTTTGAAATGATTGAGAGACTGACATTAGGGCTGTGATCCAAAGTCAGCATAGATGACAGTGCTGTCTTAATCTGTTGTCATTTTTGTTGCAGCCTGCTTTTCAATGGCATATTTCATTCCATCATTAAACATTTGCTGATTTTCTAATACCGATGTTTTCTTCACCTGAATATTCATCTTTTCTCACCCTACACTTAGTGGGTGTCTTTACTCATTTTTAGCTTCACTCTTCTTCACTCTTGACATATTGTTTCTTTCTGTGCATGTCTTCATTTGAAAGAATCTGTTGTCATCAGAGCTTTTCTGCCAGTAATGCAAGATGGATGGGTTCTCCTCCACTGAAAGATAAGGGCCAGCAAAATGCCAGGGAGGACTGGAAGGGCAGCCAGGAAAGCTGGAAAGAGTCTGAGAATGTGTCTATCTCAGATCTGTAGCTGTTGTTTAAAAAATGGTCTAAGGAGATGTTCTGTTTAGTGAAGTGGCTCTCTTTTTCTTCTGCTAATATAATTGAAAGCCATAGATTGAGGATTCAAATTTAAGAACTGAGCATTTTCAGTTCACTTGTTAACAATTTATGAAGCTGTTGCCTCAGAGGAATGGTGTACTTGATGGAAAGGTTTATTTGCACCATTACATTTTGCTTGGTTTTAGAAGGGGGAGCATTACAGGCTTTTTCAGATGTTTCTCTGTTCTTGACAACAGTATTATGAGACAAACTTTTACCTTTTAAAACAATTTTTTTGGGTGTGTTATTCTCCTTCAAAATGTTGTGCAGTTTTGTACTACTTCGATTTCTTCCTCCCATTGCCAGGGAGGGCTGGTATGATTAGGAGCTCTCTGACTGACTGGAGTTTTATGCAAAACAGCTAGGCATGGGGAATATTATCAATCACGTTTCTACCCCCTGCCAGGAAAAGTCTGACACTTTCTCACTTTGCAGTGTCTGCTTCACATTTGGTTGACTAAATGCAAATTACATGTACTTGAGGTGGTTAGATATTTGGATTTGCCATGGTTGTGCCTTACTTTGTGTTTGATCTGCCATGTTCTCTCCCTCTGCAAGGTAGGAGCCAATAGTATTTCTCTGAGTCTAGAGAGCTGCTGTCCTTTGAGTAAAAATGATAAATAGAATCTAGTACTGATGAATCCTAACAAGAACTTTGAATTCTTAAAATATATTTCCTATAAATAGTCTCTCTCTCTGTGCTTCTGCACTTAATCCTGAGCTGGAATCTATATGCCATGAGGACACCTTGTCTCTCTGGCAGGACCAAATTGAAATCCTCCTTCCAAATTATGACTTTGTCAAAATGGGGTCCAGGAATGAAGAGACCCGGAATAACTCTCTGTGTTTTTTCTTTACAAATTATTTCTTTCAATGTTAAGAGTTTTGAACACTGACATACAGTCCTTTCAAGACAAAGGATGGTGGTTCAGTATGTACAATAGAAGACAAATTATACCCCTACGTGATTTGCTGTTTGTGTGTCTCTAATGTTGATGATTATTGTGTTTTTAGGAAAATACTAAAGAAATATGAAGAAGTGTTGTCAAAGGAATGTTTTATAGGAATTCTTTCAGAGGAGATAGCAGGCAGTTTCCCATTTCTCAGATTGGTTTTCCCCTGCAGTGTGAGATGGAATCTGTTGTATCACTCAAAATTCCTTTTCCCAAACAGGCAGTTCAAAACAATTTCCATGTTATTCTATTTCTTAGTATGCTTTATACTTCACCAATGTCTACAGAGAGCATAAATGTCCATGGTGATAATTGTGTTTGATCCACCCAGTATTAAATTCTTTTGGGCAGTTTACAACAAGCTTCATTTGGGAGAGTAAAGTAAGTATTATAACTTTTTACTTAAACTATATTGCATGAAAAAGGTGAACAGAGAGAAGAAACAAAGGCTGTTGTTTATTGCTGTTAATTTTAGTCATTTATTCTGTGAGTGTGTCTTTTTTTATTTCTGGATTTTAACTATGTGCATTTTGACATCTGTCAGATATTTTGTCCTGCATAAATTGACGAACCTGAAATTTCTTGATACTCGGAAAGTAACCAGGAGGGAGAGAGAGGAAGCCTTGGTAAGAGGTGCCTTCATGAAAGTGGTTAAGCCCAAGGATGCCAAGGTAGGAGAGTGAATGGAAGAAATAACAATAATATGATTTATTAACACCATTTTTAAAAAACTCCAGAAGCCTGTCTGTGTCTCTTGCTAAAGTAACAGGTGAAACCTTTCAAATGAAAGGATTGACAAATGTGGTCAGGTGAGAGACAAGAGCCTTAGTAGTTTTTCTGCATTTTAATATAAAAATTTACAGTTACATCTGTTTACTGGGATCGGGCTGTGTTATCAAATTTTTACTTTTATCCTCTGTTTCATATAACAATGTAACTAATACATGTCACTGAGCTTAAAAGAATAGTTTTACCCTGTCCAAGGATGTGTAACAACTGTGTGATACACTTTTTGTGAAAGAATGCAATTTTTCTGACAAGCTGTCCCCTGCCTTGTATGTTAAACTCAAATGTCTACTGCGGAGCTCACACCTATGGTGTTTACTGGCTTTTAGTGGACCAGTTGACTCTCATTTTGTATGATGTTACTTAATGTGGTATCCTGCTAATAAGCACTGACAACATCAGAGAGACAGTTTCAGTAATCTGAGCATTTAACACCACTTGCATAAACTCTGGGCACACTGCTGAAGCAATCACAATGCGAATGTGAATTCTCTACTTTGCCTTCTTTTCCATTGTTGATCAATATACTATAACAGCAATCTGAGGAGCAGGGATCTTTAGTGCTGCAGATCTTTCTTAAAACTCTAGTCAAGTTTTCAATCTACTTGCTTTCTGTTTGCTGTTTTGTTCTCTAAAATATACCATCAATAATTTATTGCAGATTTCCAATAATGCTGAATAATAAGCAGTTATGGAAATGCACTGTTTGGTAGCATAACAGTGTTGCTGGATAACTGTATTATGATGAGTACAATTGCAGAGCACTACAAATTATTTCAGACTGATTAATTTATAACTACTAAAATGTTAACAGTTCTGATACAAGCATTGTTTTGATATATTGTTTACCCCTACCTTTAGTTATTTCAGTTTCATATATGTAATAAATGAAATAATTTATTTCTAAGCTGTTTTGTATACCTTATTCACAGCAAATCATCTTTGAATCTGGCCAAATGCAAAGGCTGAATTGTGTTAAATATAGTGCACATATGTCATCTTCTTTGCAATTCCTCTTATCTAATCAAATTTTGGATCTGGTGAAGTGTTTATTTAATTTTGCTAGCAATTAGATTTTTCATTTAAGGCCTACTCTGTGAATTCTAACCAACTTAATAGTGCAAGGGAAGAAAAAAGTGTCTCTCAAATTTGAAGCTACTTTTCTGGATTAAACCTCTTTTTAAGTCAATAGCTAAGGGTAAATTACTTCACAAATTCAGGGATAACATCTTTATCTTTTATATCTACAATTGAACCTTTTGCATAGTTTTGGGTTATTTACTTACTAAGCCTTATGATAAACCATACATTTATTTCAGCAAATTTGTAGAAGGCTCCAATTTACAGTTGTTATTGCCTTCCTAAAGGGTTGGGGTTTTTTCTTATTTATAAATGGTTCAGTACAAATTACTGATGGTAAAATCATTGTAAATGTTTTTCATGGCATGAATTAACGCTTCTTAAGGTACTACAAAATTACCCTCATCATACAATATTATATACATATTACAGAAATGGCTAATTTAATTTAAATGATAAATTAGATGCAGAATAGGTGTTACAAAGCTCTCCAAATTGTTTTGAATTTGTGCCTGTTTCCTAGGATATTCATGTTTGTAATACATCTGCATGTAAACTCTTTATGTTTTAGAACACTCATAGTCCTATCTGCATATGTTTTCAGATGCAGATATGTATGTATGCAGCTATTGACAGCTGTACTCAAAGACCATAACAAGCAGAATTCCTCCATATACTGCAAAGATGATGTGCACAAAAACTGTACTTTCAGATTATGTCATATGTTATACATTGAATACATAATCGACTTTTATTTTTTAGCCTTCACATTTCCTGGATCTTTGTTTTCTGTTCATCAGTTCCCCTCCCATGTAGTTGTTGAGATTTTCGACCAGCTTCAGGCAGATTTAACAGACAGGTAGTGGTGATACATTTTAAGATTTCTGAAACTAGTTAGAGGTTACACTTTGATCAAAACTGAGAGAAAGATATCCATATCCACAGCATATCCAGTATTAGTCATCAGAAAAACTCCTTAGTAAGTTGATCTAGGGATATAAGACCTTGATGATAGTGAACTTCCCAATAATTTTTTTCTTTTCCTTTCACCTGAGGCAGGAGCCACTGTGTCAGGCTATGCTTGCCAGGAGAGGAGATGGAGTGATTGGTATTTATGTTGGTGGATGCCACATGAAAATCTTCTGCCAGATGTAGTAACAACAGTGAGCCTATCAGACCTACTTTTTCTGAAAAAAAACCCCAAACGAAAAGGATTTTTCTCCCCCATTATGATAAGCAGGAGATAGTATGGCTTATTCAGCATAAAAGGCAGACTGATGATCTAAAGAGGCTGTGATGTGGGGAGTTGTTTTCATTTTAGTCTTGACATAAAATACTTGGGAGAGCAAAACACCCCACCAAGAAAAAAAAATACACAAAATGAGAATAAAAGCAAGAAATTTCCATCTGAGTAGCTTGTGTTTACTCAAATGCAAAAGTATCTAGCAATCACCAGTCATCACTAAGTCATAAATATTTTATTTTGTATAAATTTTTTTACTTTCATTTTTCCCAATTTTTTTTTAACAGAACACTGCACTTTCTTGTGCTTTGCTTCATTTCATCCTTTGTTGAAAATGCATCTGTTTGTGATATGACTGTCTTATGGTAAGATACAGTCATTTATTAGAAAACAGTTTAATGTTACAATGCAGTGTTCCTTCTCACTGTATAAGTGAGCTAAACTTCATTATTCTGTGATGTTTATATTTTCTTTTGTCAAAATATTGAACATTGTATCATGCCTGTTTTTAATAAAGGTTGGATAACTCTAGTTGGATAAGAGGCATTGAGCCAGATGAGGAAGCCTTGTTTTAATGACCAGACCATGACCTCATTTCATTTGCACAAGTGTAGATCAAAGTGGAAGATGCCTGTCCAGTGTGAAGTGTGTTTCTGGGCATGACAGCATTTCACATCAGAAAGACAGCTCAAGAATACAACAGTCAAAATTGCTTAATTATGTCCCAGCTTTGTAATTATTCATCTCTGCTTCTACAAAGAGTACAGTTGTCATTTCTTGACATAATTATTTAAAACTGTACCCTTCTTTGGTTTATAGGTATATGAATTGTGCTCCCAACTGTTTCATTTTTAAAACTTAGAGATGCAAAGCAGAAAGTGATTTGAGAAAATATTTTATGACTCCACATTTTTACATTGCATATTATATAAAATTTAAAAATGAAATTATGATGTATCAAAGGACATAATTTCATATTTTAAACATCTATATTCTTGATCATTTAATCTAGATGAAAAAATCTGGGTATATCCATTATATCTAAAGTGTGTTGCGATGAATAGATACACACTGTCATAAGTCTTGTTAAATATAAATTTAATTACTGAATACTGGGTCAGTGCACTTGCTTTTATGTAATGCATATATTTCCCAGTATTTTGCAACCCCTGTTCCCAATAAATATTTTGTGACTTACTGCATTTTTAAGGTTAACATTTTCCTCAGTTCTATTTATGATGGTGAAAGCAAGCAGCATGCATTTGGCCACCAGTAACACTCCTGCAGCCTGTAAGACCAAATCATTGGTAGGTGTCCACGGATATACATCCAAGTAACAGACTTAATATTATGTGGAGTTATTCTGCTTGTAACTTGTCCACTGGGTATAAAGGGAACTCTGTACAACAAAAGACGGCAGTATGGCAGTATAGGTGTTCTGAATTTTTTTATTTGTTTTTCACCTTCAGATACATTGTTTTCATCAGAAGTTATAATTATGAAACATGATGTAGCATTTGTTATCTAAGGAACTAAGATGGAGAGACTGAAGCAGGAAGACAAGTCTAATATCTGCATTCCACATGATGAATGTATGTGATTCATGCTCACCCTGTTACTTGGAGGGTAGAGGGAGATAATTTTATTATGAGAGGAAGAGTAAATATTTAGGCAGGACCGTTTAAGAAATAAGGTGAGATAAAATCTACAGTGTTGTTTTCAGATAATTGGCAGTATTCCGGTATTTAAGCTCATAGGAAAAGCTCATTATCAAAGTGCTGATATATGCTTCTATTAAAATCAGATGAGGCATGAGGAATGATTTTAGTAATTTTTGTGCCTAACTATTTAAGAAGAATCATACTTTTCTTGAATAGATATATTCTATCTGCTTACATGAATTTAAGCAAGACATTTTTGCTAATGTATCTCATAGACCTTTTTGTCCCCTTCCTAAATTAGGAAAATGGGACTGGTTTTAAAAAACAGATAAAAGGAGACAGATAAAACTTTGGAGAACATCTGCATTGCTCACTTTTTTTTTTTTTACCATCACCACTGTGTAGAGATCTTGATTTATAAACTTACAGCATTTGGAGTAGATGAAAAGTAAAGGGCTTTTAAAGTGTAAAGAATTGTTATGTTGAACTGCTAGCTAATAAGATACCTCTTAGAATGAGCTTCTACATATTAGGGGTTCTTATTGTCCACGTGTCAAAAGTTCACATCCTAAAGCAGGGGACATGAATTTATAACTCCAACCTAGACTGTGCTGTAGTAAATAATATTTACTTCAAGGACATTGTAGCAGTCATGCTACTGTTTAGCCCACTGAAGCATCCATCCATTTTGCTCTTTGGGAAGTTTAAGTATTTTAAGCAAGAGTCCGTAACATGCTAAGCTCATAATCCCTTAACGAGTCATCAAGATTAGGAAAAAATAATTAAAATAAAACCAAACAAAACCCAGAATTGTTTTTATATATGATTACTATGGCAGTTTAAAATAATACATTGCTGAACAGGATCTGCCAGCTACGAGAGTGCTTCTTGCTAGAACTTA